TACTACCTACTACCTACTACTACTGCTGCTACTACTACTACCACCTAGAAAAATCCGCGCGGAGAGACAAACCGTAGATTGAAACCAACACAAGCAATACTAACCAAAACAATCCACAAAACACGCCGGCAGGCCGGCGGATTTTAGAGCTGCTCGGCCCTGATGGGCCCCTGACATGCGACTTTGGGGATGCCCTGTTGTTGTTTTGCCACGGCTTCGTTCAGATGAGGAAACAGCTATGAACTAAGTCAATGTCTGTGAGGTCGCCCAGAGATCCAACCACCAAGGCAATGAACATCAATGTCAATGAACGCACACGTGTATATGGTCACCGCGAAAATCGACAGATATTGTTTCTGTAATGCATTATGAAAAAGAACTATATATAGATTGTGTGCATTATAGATATAGAAACCTATCGCAAGTACCGGCTTTGTGGGACCATTGTGGACTGTGTACTACTCGCATGGCTTTCCAAGATTTCACGACAGAAGAAACCATGAAGAAAAGGGGAACCTCACAAACACATATATGCATTATATGTATACATATACGCGGTCTTTGCTCACTCAACCCATGAGACGGCTCTCTTTGGCGGATGAGGGTGTGACAGTTGATGTATAATTGTTTGAGGCGCTGCCAAATGCTGCCAACATTCTTCTTTGTTTCCAATTGAAGAATCATCATTACAATCCCACTGTTCAAGGCAAACTCCTCTGCGGTGCAATCCTTACTGTCACTGCAAACGCAAGTGATGGAAGTTCTTCATTTTACACTTGCTGCAGTTACCGCTGCACAACCGCGGTACCCAAATCCCCTGAAGAATACACAGTATTTGGGGCTCCAGTAGGTACTGCAGTGTTTCTTCTGTCAGGGTCAGATTTGGCTGGAGCATGACACAAAAATGCCGAGGCTTGCCTGTTTCACCAAGTAGTGAAATGTGCCTTGACGTTGCTGTGACACCCCGTGTGAGAGGCCCGTTGCAGATGTCAGGCTGTACGTATGCTGGAAAGATGTGAAGCTTGACTAATCAAAGCAACGTCAGCCGTCTGCTCGGAACAATTAGCAAGATGAGAAGATCCTCCTTGGCCGGGTACTCGGGGGATCTCGGGGGTAACATGTCATCGTCGTACGTGTGGTGGCTTTCTGATGATTCAAAGACATGGCATTGTCAGGTGGCGATACCACTGCTTGAGTGATGGACCTAGCTTCATTTATTTGAGGAGTTTGATGTCCAGAGGAGACAGGAAGGATGGATGACCACTCAAGTTCGAACACCGGGTGTTTGCATGTCAAGATCCACCCCTGCTGCCCGCGTTTTGACAATAAGTCAACCACTGGGAGTCTCTCACAGATCTGATGGCAAAACATGACAAAGCAACAACAGCACAACATGAACATGACATTCCCATGCCAGAGCTGAGACTGGGCGAAGCTGAAGTGCTCAAAGATGAGAAGGACCAGGTGGGGCGACCAGAAGGACCCTGTCGGAGGTGGTGCTTATTCAAGTTAGAGGGGGGACACGCTGCGGGGTAGCAGGAGACACCACAACGCCGCAGTTGGTTTGGCGTGGAGACATTTCGCAAAGCGGGAATGAAGCACTCACTTTGCTGCGTGAGAAGCTTGCTCTATGTAGTGGGGATCCTGACATTTCAGTGTATGTCGCTGCTCAGCGCATCTTACAGGCATGGCAATGCAAAGCTCACTGCCTCAATTTCCCCAAGCCGGGCAAAGGAAGGCGAAGGCGGAGATGATGATTTCGTTCTACAAAACATGTTGGACATGACATATTTGTCTTTAAGGTGCACCAGAAGGCAGCTTTTTCTTTTTTTCCATTGGTTGCTGGATGCTCTCGGATGGATCTCATCCAGGATCAAGTACCTGTGTACTTTGACTACTTGACTTGGCCTTGAATTCACATGTGGAATCCATTTGTTGGAGGAAGCACCAGTGGGTTGCTATTTTCCACGGAGGGTCCCTATGTTGTGCAACCTGCAAATGCACGGAACCCATGCCCCGTTGCAGGGCTTGGTTGGTGCCAGACTTCGTTGGAGAGGCTAGGACTTGCGTGACTTTTTGTGCTTAGGAAGCTGAGAGGGTCCAGCAGAATCCTTATTTTGTGACACATCTTTAAACGTGCAATCAATGGTAGACTGGTAGACCTGAGGCTTGAGTTTGAATGAAGCTCAAAGCATGTGTTTGCATGCTCTCGAGCTATTTAGGGGTGCGCTTGGAAGTCGTCAACCTTTTCCTCTGCACCAAACAGCAAGTGAAGGGCTGTTCATGGTTTCGCTTCATCCCTGAAGGAGGCCGAGCAGATCTATGCAGAGGTGGGGACCCCTGCGAGCACACGATCACAAAGGCTTTCCTTTGATTCATTGGGGTGGTCCTGGTAGTGGTGATTGAAATTGGTCTTGCTCCTGCCAAACAGACTCATGCCCCAATCCCACACAAAACATCCTGCATGTGTCTATAAGAGTACCATGATAAACCTGCACAGAAGGCCTAGTCAGTGGCCTGGTCCATGGAGGCCCTACACCTCCCGGCTTCAACCATGATGCGAACGGGCACCCACGTCACACGACCAATGAGGGTTCATCAATTGTCAGTTGCTCATCGAGGGGGCTTATCATGGACGCCAAGTTGAACTTGAAGAGATTGAGCCCCGTGACATCCTGTGACATGAGATGAAGGCCATCCAAGTGTTGAATGAGTTGGTCAGCAGGAAAGCATTATTTCATGTTCTTTCATGTTCTTTTTATGGGAGATCCCTGCTCTTCCTTCGCCTATGTATCCAGGTGCAATGCTCTTCGTCCTCGTCCAAGCCAGGCGTTGCACTCATCTCATGCGCAAAAGGATTTGCACGGGTCAGGGCGTTCGACAGTAGTTGATTGCAACAGTTGTTGTTGTAAACGATTGCACAAAACTGTGTATCGCAGGTTCAATCAAGCTACTGGTTCCCCAACATTTTGGGTACTGTAATTGACGGTCTTTGGTCCAACCTTTGGTCTGAGATTGAATCCATTATATATGTTGAATCATCCCACAAAGCTGTAGGTGGGATGCGGACGTTGGAAGTGATGCGGCTGGGGAGCTCAGTATGGAAGCCTGGTCTCTGAGACATCGTAAGCATGTCATTTGTATTTCTATAATAGCGCGTCTTCCTCAAAGTGTTGTTTGGCCGTCATGTTGGGCACAGTCGGCGAACAGCTCAGTCGAATTCCTAAGAGTTTCTTGGCCGCAAGAGCCCATCCAGGGTGTCACAAGAAGGAGTCGTACAGAGAATGTGGAAGCAAGGACATAGTGGGAGTGGTAGAGAGAGCGCGTTTGAATGTAGAGAGACCAGGCCAGAAAAAGGAGTGTCGCAAGGGGCTCGGCTGTCAAAGGCTGGGGTCCAGATATTCCTCTCCTAGATGCTAGATTCTAGATTCTGCTAGATCCGAACTTGGGATGAGCCCAGCATGTGTATGTTTGGATATATGTTGTGGCATTTATATGGTTTTATGGCCGTGTGTTTCACAGCGGCTCAGTGGGTGGCAACCGGTCAGTGGTGTCACGACTTTCATCATTATCCTATTTTGGTCGTATTGAAAGAGATTGCCTTCTCAACACACGGAGGTGTGCTGAGTATCAATTGGCTTCCACATTGCTGAAGCGCGTGGTCGAATCCAAGTACGCCATAGAGAGTGTTTCGCAGACGGTGACAATACTCGACTGCGGGGTAAGGGCAGGCCGTTGTTCCAAGATGTTCCAAGATTGGTGCCTCAGGTTGCGATGCAGAACAGATGAGAGCTGCAAGCGTTCATGGTAAGTTTCATGGTATTTGTTGGCTGGTGAATAGATTGGGCACGACATCATCTATTGCTGTTTCTTCCAACAAAGGCCCAACTTGGATCATGATCCCATGTCATGTCAGAGAGAGTCAGAGAGAGTTGCCCACTTCCGTTGCACCGCGGCCCCCTTCAACCCTGCTTCGACCTGAAACGTACAGAATCTCTATATATATATATATACGTAGCATTCTATGGCATACTACAGCTACGACATGCTATGGGTATGGATCGTTCCGGAATCCATGACATGCAACTACGAATCCTCCACAACACAAATAACACACGCTCACTTCATGACAATGATATAGGCCAATCTCCAATGTCGAAAAAACACAAATCAATGAGCTGCTACCTCTGTCACGAGTGTTCTGGATGATCTGGATGGCCATTTTTGCATGCAGTTGGGGTCACTACGGTCACTACATATTCTAATGATTGTTGTTCTGAGTGGTGAAGCAAATGTGAGGTAACAAGAGACGCGTGTTCAAAAAGCACTTGTTGGTGGACTGAACAGTTGATGACTGGACGTCTCGATTTTAGCCAGGCTGTTGCCTTTGCTCCAGCACCTGGACAAAGGTGTGCCTGAGTTGGTGGCCAGCTCCGCCTTCATCAGGCGCCAGCTGCTGCGGCGTAGTGTAGCACAAAGCTCTGCACGAGAGGGGCTGAACTTTTTATGAGGATTTGTTGGGGTAGCAAGTTCGGTTCAAAGAAGCATTCTATTGGAACTTCCGGGAAGGCTCAATAAGCTACGACATGCTACGACCGGAAACTGTCCGAAATTGGTTGTGGGTCTTCATGCGATGCAGATGGGCTTCAGCACCAGAGGAAGAAGGCGGGTCCGCGGAGCGCTGAGCTGTGCAGCCACAAAATGAAGACACCAACGAAAGGATGTGTGAATAACTGCACAGTTTGATAGAAGCTTGGTCATTCATCAAGGCGAATTGATTCATTCTAGCAAATATGGTGGGAGCATGCGGGAGCTGCAGGCTGTTTGTCATGCTCCCAGCCATGGGACCAGTTGAACTCCCCCTCTTTGTTGCGTGGGCAAGCCTGCGTTTGCGCTGAATGGTGTCTGGAAAAGACATAATTAGCGAAAGGATTCCTGGCTTGAGACAGGCAAGCTTGAAAGATGCAGCTTAGGACCCCAAACCAGGCGACAAACCAGAGAGAGAGGGAGTCAAAATGATTCAAATCGTGGAAATAACTATCGTATGTATACGTATGTAGTTTGAAAGGGGCATTGGAACCCAGAATAGACAAATTGAGCCATTCGGTAAACCTTCTTGCGCGATCCTGCGCGTAAGCAAACACAGTGGTCGCGTAGTGGGTACGCAAGATTCGGCGTAAGCCCGATGTTACATCTTATTGTCATATCGAGGCTTGTAAGCAAAACTTCTAGTGGCATAAGGTTGCATAAGCATTGGCGTAAGCAACCCCTCCGCGTAAGCTAAAACTGCAGTCGCATAGATGCTGCGGAAGCTTTCGCGTAAGCCATCATGTGTTGTGACATAGGAATCTATCGAAGTTTTCAGAAACGCTTAAGTCACTAGGTGAGATAGTCGTTGGATTTGGGCTCCTGTTATCTCCTGTTTACAGCAAGTTCATCAATATCTCTTGTGGCTAGTCTCCGCCCATCCCTTTCATTATTGGGTCCTAGATGCAGACGACGCGGTCCGAGGCCGAGTGTGAAGCAGACCACTGGCACTATTACACGGTTCCTTGCCCGCATGAAGACACGACTCCAATGATATCGCATAATTATAAATTATACTTTTCCAAACTGGAGTTATCGCAAGCTCTCACCCCATACCTTGCTCATGGGAGAAAGATCCAATTATACAAGCACAACAACATGCAACAACATGCTTTCTGTGCCCAGTTTTGGTGAGGTAATAGGCATGATATGGCATGATTGCAGGATGTAGCCAAACAAGTTCATTATTATGTGAGCTTTCCAGACCAGGCGATCTCAGAGCAAAGCCTTGCATTCTAAAGTGCCTCCAAGATCCCCAAATCTTCCAAATTCATTCTGTTGTCCTGGATCTCTTATCACAATAGAGACCTGCCAATAAATGTCAATGTTGGAGCTTGTGTTTGATCTCTTCGGGGACCAACATGGTCCCAACATGGTCCCAACATGTCTCAACATGTCTCAACAGCTTCCAACTGGTCAGGTGCTCCTACCTCTCTATGCCTGTGAGCTGTTGTTGCAGCCAGCACCGACACGGCGCTCCCGGCGTCGACAGCTGCTGGCGAAAGGCACGGAACGGGCCGGGAGGAGGAGGGCGGGATGGTGTAAGGGAGGCTGTAGGACAGATGAGGTTGATTGGCACTGTAGAGATCTGCAGGGTTGAGGGATGGGGGTTCACATGCGTTCATGCAAATTCTTCTGGCAAGTGTTCATTGAGGACAAGACTCATTAAACATTAGCATATGTTGGCGACCTTCTTTGCGTTTTGTTTTGTACAAACTACTGTTTTGGGGTGGTGGAAGGAATGTGAAGGGTCTTGAAGGGGTGGATGGTCTCGAAGACTCTAAGCAAAGCAGTTGTCATTATATAATTATCTTCACCATCTTTTTGAGTGGTGAGGGTCCTGGAAGGCTAGTCAAGCTCAGCCCAGGAGACCTCTTCATACATCGCTTCGATTTGCCAACCAGCCTGCGTGATGGCTGCTACCTTGTGCTGAAGTTCAAGGACAACAGTGAAGGGATTCTTTTCCAGAGGTGATGTCCCCTCTGCGTTCCTTGCCCATATAGGACTCTATGCTATCTTGCCTCACCAATACAGCTCCGTGGCATACAGACCTTGCCAAAGAGGTGCGATGCTGACTGACGGAATCACGTGTGCTGACTGACATCCTAAATTTGGCTGCAGCGGCCATGGGAGACTTTAGTAGACATAGAGTGTCTGACAAATGAGATGAGCATACTCCTTGTACCATGTGGTTTGGAGAATTGCATATGCTGTTCGAGAAGATTACTGTAGCCATGAAATCCCCTTACCAAAGAAAACAAAGACGTGCAAAGACAAGCCTCTGCTTTAGTCAGCAAGACTTTTTTAGGCGTGAAGTCGCCTTATCCGTACCTACAAGTCTTGGTGGTTCGTGTTTGGATAAACAAGGTCCTTGAGTCCTTAGTATGTTTTTCTGTTCATGTCAGAGTCAGTGCAGAGGCTGCCGTTGCACAGTGCATCCTCATCCACCAAGTTGTTGGATTTGTCCGACAGCGCGGGCAGATGTGCCATCACCGCCAATGTCCAGGGCGACGCTGATGCCCAATGGGCCTTAGCCTTGCAGCTGCAGCAACGCTCGGGACTGAGCGGTGGACTCAAGGTATGACACTGGAGATGTTTGGATCAGAAATCGAGGTGTTGGATTAGTACAGATGGTTGCTCGAGGTGTAAGGTGAGCTTTTGCTCTTGTTTTCATCCAGTCTAGATGGCATGCACAGCCTAGTGAACAGTATTTATGAGGCTTACGCCTGACAGCCGGGCGCCGGCCTATTTGGGTTTGCCCCATGTTGGCCTATGTTGAGCCATCTTGGAGGCTATGTTGGGCATATGTTGGGGATATGTTGGCTATCTTGGGCCTATGTTGGGGATATGTTAGGCCACTTATGTGCACAACACCCACGAAATGTCGATTAAGCCTGTCCGCGCGGCACGCATAGCCGACACCACCGGCACCCTGTTAGCCGAAAGTCGTGTCCGCCGAAGGCCACGAAACACTACAAAAACGATGTTTTTGAACATTTTTTGAACATCCTGCGCAAGATACATATAAATCTGTCGACCGGATTCGACCTGAGGTCGACCGGGGGTATACCGGGGGTCCAACAAAAGGGTCGGCGGCAGGGGGCGCGAGCGTATATAACCTTCGGTTACCAACTGAAGGCCTCCGGCAAGGACACGGGCCCGTGGCCGGCGCCCGGATTCAGAGTTGCTCCAAGTCTCTAAGCAGTTAGTTGTTTGGCCACACAAGCCAGGGGGCAAAACCAAGGTCAATGGATTGTAGAATGAAATTGATATTCAAGGGTCAGCAACCAAACAACAGCTCTTGACCACAAAGTGATTGTTGAAGCGAGGATGAAGCTGCCAGCCGCATAAATACTATGGCCATGCATGTTGTTTGAAATTGCCTATCAGTTGCTTGATGGTTCCCCTCCTAGCAAAGGGGACATGAATGGGTATATAGGTATGCTAAGAGCTCCCCACTTCACTTCCAACTCCTCAACCAGGGCGGTGGCTAGAATAAGAGGACATGACATCTCTTGACTTACAGTCTTTGCATCAGAATCGTTGTTTGGCTCATCAAAGCCCATCATAAAGACGCTTCAGTGTGGGTTCTGATGCCAGGTGATGCCAGTGCCTCTGAGGCAGGCACAAAAATCTGAACAGTGGGTAGCACGTCCCTTGAAAGGACATTGAAATGTGACTTTGTATGTTGAGAGTTGGAGACCATTCACGTCATTGAATCACTTTTTTGTTGATCAATTTTTGCGGAACGGCAAACTACGGCAACGAAGCCAGCTAGCCTAGCCAGGTGTTGCGGTGGCTGCGTTCTGCAGCTGAGCAGGGACACGCTGATGCACAGGTGAGGGTTTTGTGGCAAGCCTTGCTGGTTGAGAATGAGGGTCCGCAAAATCAAGGTACCTTGAAGGATCATCATACCAGGTTGATAACGTTGCTCTCATGTTGATTCCACTCAATTTACAATTCTTGCATGAAAACTAATTACCTGCGCTCTTGGAGTGGCTTGAAAAGCAACTTGTATTTTGACTTTAACCCTTTCTTCCAAGGTTGATGCAATTATATAGTTTATCTTTCTCAATCTCCAAGTGTTTGTTTTTTGCGATTCTTGTTCATCCCCGAGAATGATAGTCCTTTCTGTGTCTTCAGCATCCTTGCCAGGCATGTCTCGGCGAGCGCTGCGAGGAGGATTCCCTGAGCTGGCTCCATGAAGCAGCAGCTTGGTTTGAAACATGAGACCATCGATTTGACTCTCATTGTTTTTGAGCATGATCGCAAGACATCATTGGAGAACAGCCGTTTTGCTGTACCATGGGGTGACCAACCAACCTTGTTTGAGAGCCAAGTCTTGGGGGCACTCATGGAGGTTGAATGAGATGATGCGATAGATTTGATAACTTGCAACTCTGCAGCAAGCAGGTGGAACATGGTACTTAAGTCTTTCAGTGCATCAGCTCTGAAGCCTTATAGACACCACCTATATCACTTTGCAAGGACAAAATTAGCCACTGATGACTCCTGTATCTCCGAGATAGACCCACAAAGCACAATCCAAGGGTCCAAGGGGTCTATAAAGAACTTTTGTCAACACGTAATTCTCATTTCCACGTCTGAGAATAGATCGGAATCTGCATGACAAGGAGAAAGGCTTCAAGCCTTAAACCAAGCATAAATTCTTTGACGTCTCAGTCTTTTTGTCACTCTTTGGTTTGGCGTCTGAACTGATAGTTCTCACCCAGCCCCCTGTTTTTCTGGGTTAACACCGTCCGCAGGCCCTCCAAGGCCACCGCCGCGCGCAGCGTGCGCTGGCGGAGCGCTTGCATGTCCAGGGCAACAGGGCTGAGGCACAGAAGTGGCTGCGCCGAGCAGCAGAAGAGGAGTTGGTTCCGCCCGTTGATGCAGTTGAGATGTTTGCGCGCGGATGTATCAATACTCAGATCAAGAAGGATCAAGAGGGCATAAGAAGCCTAAAGTACTTCATCAATATGTCACATGGTTCACTTGATTCTTCTGGCTTGAGATTTTTTGAACGCCTTCATTTCATAGTGACACCTAACACATGACCAACGAAAGGCAAAGTATACTATGAATATATGTGGAAAGGACATCGAAAAGTAGAACCCCTCTGAACATGTATTGGACATCGTTTCTACGTGGGAATCGACTCTACATATAGAAGGTTCACGTAGATCACTGTACTTTTGTATTGAGTATCATCACAGGAGGATTTGCAGGCGGCGGAGCTACTGGTGGTTTGCCTGGTGCGTGAGGGCGAGATCTCCGAGGCGAGAACCGGATATGAACTGGAGATATCAGCTACAGCTAGCCAAGTTCGCACAAAACAAACAAGAAAGACACCTTAAACGTTCAAGTCCCGAGATTTAGTAGGCTTTTGGCAATTTGGTGCCATTTTTGAAGGAGAGACTAACGTTTAGACTGATTTAGACGACAAAATTTCATGATCTTTCCCCATTGGATAAGGGGTTTAGATTCCCTTTGACCATAGCCTCACCTGGTAACGACACCGATGGACCGATCGAGGCCCTCCATTGGTGTCGTTGGGGCGCTGGCCGGGGCTCGGCCAGCTTGCAGCACCGCTGGGGATTGCATTTGCTGGCCGGGGAGTGCTGTACCAAGGATGAGGCCACTGTTTGTTGGGCCCTTGTGTTGCAAAGAACCATTATCTTCAGAGAGGTGAGTAGTAGGGAGGATTCAGGAGGATCGAAACCTTTCAATGGATGACATCACATGCTATTTCTTGGTACCTCCCAATTACCTGTTGACCACTTTCTCACCAAACAAGCTCCCATGACCAGGCAGCAGGCCTGGCTTGGTTGCGCCGGGCTGCAGAGCAAGGCCACCCAGAGGCCACCAACAACCTGGGCGTGGCCCTCGCGATTGGTGGCTCGGCGCTCGCGCTTCGTGCGCTTGGATTGAAATCAAGCAATAAGTGAGGGATACTCATGTTTGCCACATTTCGGCTTTGATTACCGCTTGAAAAAAACATCTTCACATGTCTTAACGCCCCTTGAGGTCTTGGCATTGCACCCGACTTGCAAGAGGCCCAGCGCCACTGGCGTGCCGCTGCGCGCCTGGGAGATTCCTACGGCGCGGCGAACGCGGCGAAGGACGCGGCCAACACGGCAAAGTCAGCCACGGTGGTGATGAGCGAAAAGCAGCTGGCTGAGCTGCAGCAGTTGATGAAGGAGGCAAGGCGGAGGTGGAGAGTGATTGGTGGAGGGTTCTGGGATTCTTTGTTGCCTGGACAAAGAAATTTGTTGTGGTGATTGTGGTGGATAACTGGATAATATGATAATATTTCATCAGAGTCAGCACCAGGCCACAGTTCCTGCTGTCGTTGATTGGTGGGTGGATGACGATCTGGATATATTATGATATATTGGTCATCAACGATGGCATGGGGAGGTTGGATGTATATAAGAGAGTTGCACGATGAAGACATGCTTGCAATGGACACGCTTGTTGTATCAATTGTCACACTCCCTTCAAAACGGGAGGAGCCTGGGTTCTTTGTTTTGCAAAAATAGCCAGAGGAGTGCTGGAGGAGGTGTGAAGGTGTAGCACAAAGAACATGTTGGTGATGCATTGAACGGATTGTATCATACTATCTGTATCCAGCAAGCAGGTCTTCGACATCGACCCTGGGGAGTCTCCCCCAAAAGTGTCCACCGGACCAAACGTTTCAATCGCTTTCTCCTATGGTTTTGCATTTTGTGAGGTCAATGAGCTTCAAGAAGAAGCACAGGGGGAGGCGATGAAGCAGAAGGCCTGAAGATATACTACGCAGTGAACTTGAGCCGAGTTCGGGTGACTCGTTCTCGTTGATTTCCCGTTGATCAAAGGCAGAACACCTTGAACTCATCAAGCAACGGAGTCCTTGAAAAGAGCGTGAGTTCCATTATGTTCCCAGAGAAATATGTTCACCGATTAATCAGTAATTATACTCGCGCAAGTGTGCAAATGTTTGTCCCGAGTCGTGATTGCACACTAAAATGAAATAGCCAACAGTTCCTACTTGATATATCACAAGAATTAGGTGATCATCAATGATCTTCATGGTGCAGTGCAGACTGGCAAGATCGACATTTGGCCTGTAGAAACATCTCAATTAGCTCAATGAGCAGTGAGTGCCATGTGGCATGTCGAACAGAATCGTTACGCCGACGTTTGTCCAGGGAATGCTTCATGATACTGGTATGCTAGTCACTTCCACGTTGGGAGGTTCTTCATTTCAGGGGGGCTCATCAACAACGAGAAACCAGATACTGTAGATACTGTACTGTACCAGTAAAACATGTCTAGTCCAAAGTGTCATTGCCCACGCAGACAGTGTAGCTTCACGAGTTCCCAAGGACACTTAACATCATATTCTTAAATCATATTCCAAGTTTGGGGGTCCAACGACATCTTTTGCTCCATCCCACTGTCATCTCATGCTCATCCAGGTGGCCCCATTGGCCGATCTGCTGCGTCAGCTCCGGGACTCCGCCGCACCGCGAGCGCCGCCCTCGCACGATGCCCACGACGCCCCGGTGCCACGGGGCGTCACCGCCGTGGCCCGAGCGTCGGCGGCAGTGGGGCTTGGTGGTGGCGAACCCTTCATTTTGAGAGATGCAATGGATTGGCTTAGTGGCTTTCAATTGCGAGAGAAAGCTTTTGTTTGGGCTTCTTGTCTTGTCGGTTTGGGTCCTGGTTGATGGGGTTGGTTTTGTTAGTGTTGGTATTTGGGATTGGTGTCATTTTACTTGAGCTTTGCTTTTTCCTTGCTTGCTTGGTTGTTCGCTTGCTGGACTTGAAACAAAAATAGTAACGGCATTGTTTCGATTTCATGCAAGCGATGGACACAGTTCAATCGACCGCTCAGGTGGACAAAAGGTCTTGGACTTCATGCCGCGTCTCATGACAGCCTGCGGGAGAGACGTCGTTGCGTACGAGATTCAGGGAAAGGGTATGTCAGCCCAAAGTATGGCTGCGCCCTTTGCCCAGTACATCCAGCAGCTCCAGCGTAGCTACTTGGACTTGGTGAATTAGGGTGCATTCCGATCATGTCATACATATTAATAACTTCTAGTAGTTGGATGTTTAGCGAAATAGGTGAGGCTTCTTTTGCTCACTTCCACCACTTCAACCTGTACATATACCTCTCAGCATCTCTCATCTATCTAAATCCAACCAACAAATGAAAAAGGTCACCTATTTTGCTTATTGTGTGCTTGGATCTTTCTCTCATCTCGGCATCTCTTTCAACCTCCCCCGGATTACCCCCAGGCGATGTTGGGGCCGCTTACCTCATGAGTTCCGACCAGCTCTTGGAGCGCCCGGAGCTCCAGGATCTACTCCAAAGCCCCGAAGGCCTTGCGGTCCGAGGCACCCGGGACCTGGGACTCGTCCGTCGCTTCCCAGACGAAATGGAAGGCCAAAATATGCCAAAATCGAAGTTGAGAGGACTGAAGTGAAGCTGTGTTGCAGATCACTGGCATGCAACGTGCAAGGGGGAGTGCTTCCGGGGTGTTTTGATTGTTGAACTTGAGCCCAAGCACCTTGGCAGGGCACGAGAGGTCAAAACCAAAACCTGGCAATTGTAGGTGATATGCCGCCTTTGCCGCACTGGCTGACAGTGGGTGGAGCTGGTGCGAAGACGCTGTTGCAGCCTGGCCAAGCAAGGGTCTTTTCAGCTTGAGCCTCGAGTCTGGCAAGGTCGTACCACATATCATCTGGCAAAGGACCAAGAAGACAAGGGGCCCCGGAAGTAATTTTGGTGACTTTTGCAGTCTGATTTATGGTCGGGAAACTATGCACTTAACGCAGAGTATCCTTGACAAAGTTAATGTGTTCCAACTTCGAGGGTTAAGATCTATACTAAACAACTTTTGTGAACCGAATAACAGCCAATGACTATGTGACTGACTATGTGTTAAGAGATGTTAAGAGGCTTCCGAACAAGCTGGCCAAGAAGTGAAATGGTTTTCGGATCCTCTTTTGAACAAACGAGTTGCCCTGTCGGGCCACGGGCCACACTGTTAGATCTCCAGCTTCGGACCCTTTGCGACAAGGCACGTATGTTCCGAATTCAGGGGACGGTTATCCTATAGGCAAAAGAAGGGTCAGGGCACAACAATGGCACCACTTTACCCATAGATATGCTTGGAAACACTTTTCGAACGGACGAACTGATTATGACAGCACGGACCAGCAGAACAGACATTTCTACCAAATGGCTCTCGCACGAATCTTTTAAGACGTCGCAGTGCCGGCCCACGGACGCTTTAGCGCCCACAGCCAGAAAAAGAACTTTTGCGTGGTTTTCCAAATCTTTGACTTTTGATAGTGTATTCTGTATTCTGCGCGCCTTCCATATTTGCATGCCGAGGAAGCGCGATCCTGTTGTTACGGCCTCCTGGACGATGCTGGTGCTAGGCCGGGAGGGGTGGTATGTTTGCAGTTCTTCTTGTGCTTTCTTTCAAAGACCTATTTCCTATAATCACATAGCTGTTTGGAGCCAACATCCCTGTCCAATGTGCTCAAGATCAACAACACTTATATATTCTTTGCAACAACCGGCCCAGGGGTCCCAGTTGAAGGGACAAACTTGACACCTCCGATGCTCAAATGTCCCAGGCAGCGCCCGCTGGTCCCTGCTGCCGCCCGGCAGCAGCCCAAGCTTAGCTGGTCCCCCAGATCGCTGGGGAGATACGCGCTCAGAGGAGACTCTGGGATGTCAGGGAAGCGACAACTTGTTGGATGGTTGATGGGTGTGTGAATGTGGACCTGCTCATAATGTACTATATGATATGATATGATTATATGATACTTGCTTCTACTCTGACGGTGCGAGTTCGTGTAATCCTCCAATGAAAGTGCTAAGAAACCAACCCAAAGATCTCCCATATTTAAGGAAGCAACGCATTTCTTGGATCCGGAATCGCATTCATTTTAAATTTTGCACACTGTCAAATCCTCCTTATGAGAATTGGGGTTTCTTTCTCCGGCCTCCATTTGCCCTCAAGGAGGATGCCTTCAACCGAGAATGGCCAGAGGTTTGGACCGCTACGCAAGAGATGGGCGAGGCAAGAGCATAGAGAATCTGGCAGCACACCATAGTACTTTGGATGTATTTGAGAGTTATATTATATTATACATTATTATACATTCATATCATCTTGTATTAAGTTATATAATATTGTGATATTGTTGTATCAATATGTATACAGTAAATGTGTTTTCGTGATTGGTGCTTGTGCTGCGCGAAATTATCAACCTGCAATACAAATCTATACAACATTCGGCTGATAATAGAGCTGAGATGTTTGGATGACACAGACTTCGCAGGTTTTGGTGGTGCCACCTGGCTGGTGGTATCAAATGCTGCTGGAAGATAGGGTGTTGGCAATCAGTGCCCAGTCGCTTGGTCGAGTTGCACAAAGCGGGCGTGAGCTGTGAAGCTTGACATTCCCAAGCAGATGGATCTCAGCTTGACCGCTCAAGCAAATGTAGTTCTTAGCACACAGCTACTTACTTAGTTGTTTGCAGGCTTTGGATGTGCAAATACGATGATATGCTCAACGTTGCTATCATGCCCATGCAGGGAATCAGCGGAACAAGGGAACGAGTTCAAACTGCCAGGGTGTTGATTTTTGGCACCGCTAGTTTGTCAGCTTCGGCATGTCTTCCAATACGTAACCAATGTAACAAGTGTATTTACTTTCCCAAGTCTTATCTTACAAACTAATCCCCTTTTTTGCATCCCAACAAAATGATTGAAGGTTTTGCCAGTTACATGGATGATCGCCTGCCGGCTGTTTGGCTCACAGATGCTCGCACTCACAAGCCGGTTTTGAACAATCTTCGGCCAGTGCTTGAATCATGGCAGGGAGACTAGCCTTCATTGCAGCGTGTCTTGGTGCTGTGGCTTTGCGTTGTCACTTTGGACGCTCCATGGTCATGCCTTTTTGCGGGCATCGTGTCTCCACGCCTACATGCTTCAAGGTTCGAAGAGGAGAAGCAGTGCTTCAAAGAGTTGGCAAGGATGACATCCTAAATTTTTTGAGACTGCTTTATGCAAGAATTTCTGCAAGCATCCCAGTGGGCACAGGTGCAGCAGCAGACATGGGCACAAGCAGGTCAGACATCCTTGATGGGGCATCTGCAGGGGGCAATACCTTCGATGTCTTTAAAATGCGAGAGCATCCTGATGTGTGCACAATGAGGGTGGTCGACCGCAAAGCTCTTGACCAGATACTTGAGGGTCTAGCACATGATGATAAGAGTGGCAATTTTGCGGCATGGGTCCAGAAACAACGGATGCGTCTTCGTGTCAGCACTAATTTCCAAAGTGGACCCTCAATACCAATTGACGGGTAAACACTATCGAGTGTTTCTTTCTATCTGTCGTGCCATGCAACGTGTTTCCGGAGCTCGAGGACACGACCCTTGTCGTAACAACTATCCGTGCACGTGCAGAGTTCGAATTGGAAGCATTTCGGGCACTTCGCAGAGAAAAATTTGAAACAAGAAAAGGGTGGTGGATTTGGCGATCAGAGCAAAAGGCAGAAAGCTTTGTGGATCTTGAGCAATCCTCAGCGCTTGATCCCAAGTGTTTGAAAAACATGTTTTTGGAGTTTCTGGGCGCTCGTGGATTGCAGTTCCCGAGTCTGCCGTAAAGCAATTGTTGCGAATCTCGGATGTTCGAAGCAATATAAAGCAACAAAAAGCAGTCGGTTCTCTGGAGCGGTGGGCCTATCCCTTCAAGTTTGCATGCTCTCCAATACTCAATAGTCCTGGAGGTTCATGAGCGTAGCAGCCAGTTTCTTTGCAGCGTCTTGGGGAAGCTGGGGAAATCCTTATATAAATGGATTTAAATGGCTAAGAGGCCTTTGTAAGTTTCAACCATCCTCAATAGAGCCTTCCTATTTAAATTTGCCCTACTTGCTGCATTCCCTAATAATTTTACACCAAGATGGCATCTCGAGGCAAAATTATGACCTCCCAGGCCCCAGGCCCGAACGTCACGGCGCCACACGAAACGCGTGAAACGCGGTGCGAGGTTCCTGGCGAAGGAACACCAGCCCTTGGTGGCCAAAGAGCTGCCAAGCTTGGGGTGTCTTGGTTCTGATTGAGCTTTGGAGCCGTTTGAGCCATGGGCGGTGAGGGAATCCGAGAGCGGTTTGTATTCATTTTGACTTGTGGTTGCATTTCACTTAGAGTCGGGAGAGGCGCAGTGAACACAGGAACAAATACCTAAAACATTCTGGTTCAGGGTGTTTTGGGCAACAGTCTCAGGCAACCCTGAACATGCATCCTGTCACAGCCATCACAGCGTGGCTTTGGAAAGCGACCTTCAAGCTTGGCACTTTTTTGTTGATTTTGGATATCTGAAACTTGTGGTTCTTCGCGGCCAGTTATGTACACTTTCCGAAGCGGTGATAGATTTGTTTTTGAAAGGACAACAACTCTTATATAACGGTTTCTAAAGGACTCCTTGTGTCGTAGCCACAGATCCTCAACAGCAAGGGTCATTCGATCATGGTTTCCCTTATATAAATTAAAATAGATCTCTCTATATATGCACTCGTATATATATGTCGAAACACCGGTAGCCGACCGACTCCAGTCGATGAAAAACCCATCGGGCGATCCTTTTCAGCTCCAGCCGATGAATGTCCCTGCGGATACGACGATCGATATGCTTGCACCTGGAAGGAAGACATGGTTGCGGCACTCATGGAAGTCAACACGGCTTTTAAACTATAAAAAGTTCGAACCAAGGCTTCTCTTGACAAGGCTTCAACTCTTACGAATTCAATCTCTACTTATAGGTGCGAGGCACATCGGTGCCGGGGATCTTTGGTCCCTCCCAAGCGGCATCTTCTGCTGCATCACGTTCGGCGATGAAACGGCTCAAATAATTTGAAAGATCAAGCAACAGGCCTGACGCTGATCGCTGACGTGCCGTTACCCACTTTACATATGACTTGGCTCGGTCTTCGGGTGAGCATGCCAAATCATGGTAAGTCATGTTCAAACCCCATTGGTGCATGTCCATCACATCCGGAGGCAACGTTGGCAGCATACTTGAGCTCAAATCTGAACCTGGCATCGGAGGTGGAATTCCTTCGGTGGCAGCATAGGATCCTTCCATGGAACCTGAGGCCTTGAACTTGGGATGTGCTGATGGACCATATCCACGTTCCTTCTTCGGTTGCGGCGAGGCTGCTGACAACTCCTCTCGACGTTTGGAGGCGTCAGTCATCGATCCAGAGAAGGGAATCAAGCTGAAACCTGAGTCTGGGTCAGCAGCTCCGGAAGCAATACCTGGTGCATCGATTGGCAGGGATGGCATCATCTGGTCTGACGACGCCTTGGCCATCAGATAGCGAAGCTGTGCTGCTTCATCGGGAGTGAGCGGCATTTCGGTATGCCTTTCAAGAAACAAATGCGGCGCGTGCTCTTGATCACAAAAGGCTAAAATAGAAAACGACTAGTGATCAGGACGACAGCTAAGGCTGCCACCCTGTCCCTGATCTGAATAACGAACTTCTTTCAAGACCGATCACAGCAAAACAATTGGACAACACACTCGAAACATTGTGACACGGCTGCATGCTATGACAAAACTGCTCAGCTATTTACTGATGCAAGAAAACGGATAACACAAGAGCTTCAAGACACAGTATTCCCTGTAGTCTACCGATGACTACCTTTCTTACTGCAAACTCTATGCTCTTAAACAACAACTATAGTTGCACTGAATTATCCATGACGTCGGCTTTCAAGCTTTTCCTTCGTTCGCGTTCTTCAGCTTGTTGTCTGAGAACCGTGTCCTCTGGAGAAATCTGATATGTCCCTTGACGGACACAGGATCGAAGCAAGTCAATTGGCTCTTGGCTGTCTTTGGTCAAGCCATCTGCCAACATCCACTTCGTGGGAAGCCATCGAATGCTACCTCCTGTCAACTGAAGAGATTCCCGAAGTATCACTATATCAATACATGTTCTTCGATCTTCTATTGACGTTGGTGATGAGGGGGAAATCAGGTGGTCATACAATGACTTACAATCTGTGGCCAGGATGGGTGATCGTTTCAATACAAGGACTGGTGGTCTCTTCTGCAACAGGTCTCGTGCGTCTCTTGCCTTGAAAGGGCCATCCAAGGTCTCTGAAAGGAGGAGTGACAGCCATTCTGCCGTTCCACTGGCAGTTGACATGGCTTGGCTTTCACCTCCTAAGGTGGAACTCACGGCCCTTGGCAACTTATAGCTTTTCCAAGCCACTGGCGTCCATGGAGACTCCTTGCCGTCATGCAACTTCTTATGAACAAAAGCCAAAACATAACCAGCTTGTGTGTGGCTACCTACGTTGGCGAACGCTGCATCGCTATGACAGCATATTGTCAGGGACTCAGGTTCAATGGATCTAAAACGAATTTTGAGGTCCTTGAATTGTTTGGCCCTTCGAATAGTGTTGTTCGCACTTCTGAGATGTTGGACGGTCGGTTTAGGTAGGCCCTGTTGACACATGCTTGTTTGGCATGACAAGTCGGGACGGCTTTGCGATGACAACCAGTTAAGGCTACCGTTGATTGCTCGGAGGGCCCTAATTTGTTGTTCATTGAGCAACTGATTGGAGGAAACACCTTTGGGGATGTGAGCTGGTCTCAAACCCTCTGCAAAACTTGCCTGTGAAATCTCAATGTCAAACGTCTTTGGGCATTGATCATACATGGCACCACAAAATTCACCATTGGATATCCTCCACTTCCGGTATGGGAACCTGGCTTTCAGTTTCTCTAAGGACTTTTCAAACAGGGGTCCCTCACCTCCTACTGCGGTGTCGTCGACATGAACGCCGAGCACTCCCAGCAAGCTATTGCTGTTGGGACAACGCAGTGTGTACAGGCATGGATCGAGGATCGATCGGGTCCAACCTGCCTGAGTTGCTTCACGATCGAAGGTGTTATGCCAAGCTCTTGGAGCATCGTTCTGTCCGTATAGGTTTCCGACTACTTCGATGACACAATCTTCTGGAACTCCAGGGATGCCTCCTGGTGGCATTTTTGCGTAAAGAGGTCTGAACTTGTCTGGGAGTTCGCCTGCTTCCAAGAATGCGCCCTTAATATCGCCTAGCTGTAGGACCCACTTATGAGAGGCAATGATCTGCATCAGAACCATCCTACCTAGCTGACTGAGGGTTGGTGATTGAAGCAACCCAGACGCAGCCTTTTCTTCCAAGTCAGGATCTAAATGTCCCTGAAGGACCCATCGACTCTTGATTTTGAAAGTGGATGGATCACTTGGATCAACGCTGACTCCGTCTTGTGTTGCTTTTCTGATGATCACGAACCTCGATCCGATGAAACGGTCTGCGTGCTCGGCCCGGATGAGTCTAGCCTTTTTACCAAAGTGCAAACGGATTGCTCCCTTGTCGGAAATCGTGTTCCATTCTTCTCCCTTAGACAAGTTAACTAGTTTCTGCAACTCTGGGGGATTGTTTGAAGGGGACAACTCTTTACTCAGTTTCTTCTGGATGTGTGCGGCAATGAGTGTCTCGATGCTTTCTTCGAGATGCATGTCACACTTCCTGTACAGACAAGACTTCATCGTACGCTTCGGCGCGTGGTCGAGCAGCGGACGACTCGGCCGTCGTGTTCGGGTCTGGAGACAGGGCTCTTTTCTGTCCATGTACCATGTTCTGATCTTCTTTGGTTTCTGTGGCGTCCTGAAGCAGTTGAGAGTTGAGGGAGCACTTCTCTCATGACTTCTACGAAATCGTCCTGTCTCATTGCAGGCGGTCTGTAGAGAGCAGGAGCGCCGGACTTCTGATCTACCCTCCGTCGTATTGGACCATATGAGCTTGGTGCACTAGTCAACCCTTCAGGTGACGGTGTTTCAGCAGAGACTGAGGCATGTGTCTCTTGAGTTCGTGCTGGCTCACATGTCATGGGACCTGGTACAGCAGAGGCATCGGAAGTCTGTGCTTCGGACTGCTCGTGATCAGGCGACATGTTTGGCTGCTGTGCTGGGGGTGTGTCTCCTTTATCCGAGTCTGATTTCACTGATTGATCTTCGGAGGGATAGTGTCCTGGAACCAAGTCAACGAACTGATGGCTTTTAAAGGTACCTCCTTCCACAAGATCTCGAATACCTAACAGCTCTGCTTGAGGGGTTGAAATCAAGACTCGTTCTTCGGTGGTCGCTGGCCTCATTTGTTCAGGCGCACACCGGAAGATGTGACGACGATGAGCTACCACATAATTCTTCCCGACCTGACCTATCACAATTGCAGTACCATACCAACGTCCACCTTGTTGAACCACACCTTGACCCATCACTTTCTGTTGTCGCCAATAGCACACGAGATCGACTGGTTGATACGACAGCATGGCACGAGGTCGAGCAGCCAAGGCCTGTCTCAAGGCTTTGTCATCTTGCATGGCAACAACAGCCTGTCTGTACGAATGGCTTGAGACTTGGCGATGGCGGAATCGTCAAGACCGGCGGTGCCTGGTACGACATGCAGCGGTTCACTCAACAAGTCACCTGGAATGTCTGGGTTCTTTCCAAACACATGTTGATGGGGAGTGTAACCATAATTTTGAATCATTTGGTTCTTTACATGAGCATGTCGAACACAAGCTTCCCATTCTTCTCGAGTGGTTGGTGAATGTTCTAGGATTACCTTCTCAAGAACTTTGGAAAACCACCCGCCGTGAACCTCTGTCCTGCCAAGCTGCCAGTGCGCTTCTGCTGGAATTGTTCGGACCACGATGCCCTGATCATCAAGGTACGATTGCATGGCTTCTCCTAGATTTGTTTGTGCACTATCCATGACGACTTCTCTAGGGATTCCTGCCCATTGGATCCAGTGACTATCGAACAGTTGTCGGAGGAGACATGAGGTTTCCCGTTCGAAGAAAGGAATCATCTGTTGGTAACAGGACCCTTGACAAACAATGTTTAGAGCTTTGACCTTCTGATTGACCTGCCAGCCTGGTTGCTATTTTACATCTATTCCTACTGACACATTGAACTCACAGGAGCGTGTCGGTTTGGCAGGCAATGGCACATGTGGTCGAACTTGGGACTTGCACAGGTCGCATTCCAACGTCTTGGCCATCTCAATTGCTTTGTCGGACGCAGATCCATGTCGGAGGATGCGAACCAGATCTTTAGTGCTACAGTGGCCGAGATTCTTGCGCAGTCGATGCAGGGCTCGTTTGATGGCTTCTTCATCCTCCCCTTGGATCTCTTCACGACTCACAAGTACTTCATGAACTTCCATGGGGCAATCATGAATCATGCCTAATCTGCACGAGGTGCACCTGTTGGGCACGTTCAAAGGCCGGCACAGTCTTCAGAACAGCTTGTACAAATGCCGGTGTGTATTGTGCAACATATTGGCTAATCGATCCCACTTCAGCATGTGTTCCCGCCACCACGTCGTGACAAGTGTGATGGGGGTCTCTCTTTCCAGGACACGTGAGGCCTAGGGTTGTCATTGATTGATGACTCACAAGCAACCTGGTGGCCTTTCGGATGTATTGTTTGCTGTGGGGAAGTCTTAACCCAAACCTACACATGTGGCACTTGACATGGAAGTACTTGTTCAACAAACATTGCATCTCTTCATAGGTCCATGTCTTAGCTCCTAATGGATGTTCGAACAAGGCTTGTTTCCCGGCCTGTACTTGTTGCTCAAACAGGTCGCAACAGTAGCGAATGAACAACCGACTCAATCGACGCTTTTTCAAACACTCCATTGGATCCATGGTACAAGCATTCAGGTTGAACCAACCACCTTCGTACGTACATGGAGGGCACAGTACCAAAAGATCTGGAGGATGCTGTTTGAGGAACTGGTTTCTTCTCGGCATTGGGCTTTTGAGAAATCATACCCGGTTTTGAGATCACATGACATGGCAAAACCGCCTACTGCTTCGATGGACGGAGCGAAACGAGGAGGGCTGAAAATCTCAGCCAACATGAAACGCTTCCCCTGCACAAAGGAGCCGACTCGACTTGGTGCCTGCTTGATTTGTGCCGTCAACTGTCGGCACACTTGAACTGGCAGGCTCTCGATCGCGTTGACGTGTTCCTGAGGCATAAACACGAAGTCGGTTCGAGTTCTGCGAACGTCTTGCGGCAAAGGTTGGATATAATATCTCTTATCTTTGCTATGATCGATAGTTTGATCGCTCACTATCCTACCGGTGTCAAGATCATGGATGGTCCTGTGGATGACTGTGTGCCAAAAAGGGGGCTGTTTGCCCGTCACTGGCGTTAAGGTCAAACCTTCATCCACACGAGACCAAACAGACGACCCTGGATGTCCTGTGTCAGCGGAGTCTTGGGCCTGTTCTTCAGGATCTAAGGCGGTCTCTGGCATGGAAGGTGCGATTGTAGGCTCATGATCACAGCAACTGTTGGCTTCCTGAGAGGCCATAACTTCCGAGAACTGCACTTCCTTGCCCTTGGTTTCCTCGAGCAAGACTCGAATCATGAACTGTCCAGCGGAATTGGTGTGGAGAGGCACCTGCACTGCATCGCCAAATATGGTCATGGTGCCTTGTCCGAAGGCCAGTGTTGCCTTGAGTTTCTGAAGAGCTGCGCGCGAGATCAGCAATGGGGCTTGTCCTTGCACGATGGCTGCACGAATGGATCCAGACTTGCCAGGGATTCGAACTGGCATGGCCAGCACCTCAGTGGAGGTCTCTTTTTCACCATTGCCATACCTGAAGTAGTTGATCTCAGGCTCAGGCTCAGGGCATGACATGCCGTGTTGCTGCCACACTTGCTTGAACTTGGCAAGTGTCTCACGGCCGACAATAGTGCGGCCGCATCCTGAATCGGTCACCCCGAAACCAGGGCTTGAAACCAGCAGAGTTTCGCGCACGGTCCAATCAGGAATCGAGGAATCTGTTGCTCGCTTCGTGGAACGCAGGATGTCAAGCGGCGACCAACTTGCAAAATGCTGTGCCATAGCAACAAACTGCTCATCATCTTCTTGGACGGGTTGTACCAGGGCTGCACCAGTCTCTGAGGAGCCCTTCGAGGAAGAGGACTGCTTGCCTTTGCCTTTTCCTTTTCGACATTCCTTGGACCAGTGTCCCAATTGTCCACAGCGATGGCAGCGTGTCTTTTTCTTCAACTCTTCAACTTCTACACGAAAACTTCTTCTGAGCTCATTGGACTTGGCGGCGTTCGAAGAAAAGTTGCGAGCTTTCTGCAACCTCGACAGCTCTTGCCGTCGATCTTTCCAGCTGATCGCCAATGCTTCTGCGACCTCGGCCTCTTCATAGACTTCTTCTTCAAGAGCCTCGTCTTGCTGATACTCAGCAAGAAATTGTTCAACATCGTTGAAGTCGTCGACGAGGTCGGAGATCTCAGAAACGGGCTCTCCTACGATGGATTCTCCCAGAATTGCAACGCCAGCTATGTGCTTCTTCTTCATCACGAACTCGGGGTAGCAGCTGCGCATTGCTTTGCCGATCTCCTCTCGCTTCATGACCCCTAAGGATCGAGCGACGACCACAGCTTTTTGTTCGTCGTTGAGCCCACTCCTGTGGAGGATCAGCCATCATCCTCGAGCCTCCTCAGGAAACGTGACATTCGTTTTGCGAGCGCATCGATCGAACAACTCAGTGGCACGGCTAATCCAGGCTTTGAGTGTTTCACCTTCGGCGGCGCGAAGATTGAAGATCTCGGTCAGCACCTCCGACATCTCATCGGTGACTTCTTTCTGAGGGAATCGCTGATCCAGAAGATCGAACAGAACTTTCTCACCGCCTTCTTTCTGGAATGCGCTAGGATCCAGGTGTTCTACACACTCCAAAGCCTTGCCACTCAAGGGAGTGAAAGCATAGGCCCCTCGGGCCTCCTTGGGCATTTTGTCCAGCGTCATCATCTTCGACTGGACCCATGCTTTCCACCGACGGTAGTCCTTGTGGTCTTCGGACTCGCCAGAGAAAAACTTCAGACCACCTTGGTCTTGACTTGCAGCGGCACTCATGGCGGCGCCGAGTTCCTACTCGGAGCCTCGACCGTTTTGGCCGAGGCTCCGCTACCAATGTCGAAACACCGGTAGCCGACCGACTCCAGTCGATCAAAAACCCATCGGGCGATCCTTTTCAGCTCCAGCCGATGAATGTCCCTGCGGATACGACGATCGATATGCTTGCACCTGGAAGGAAGACATGGTTGCGGCACTCATGGAAGTCAACATATATATATATATATACATAATCAGAGGGGCTTGCAAAAATGACTCTCACTTTTTTTTGACTCTCAGTTTTCTTGTTTCTGATGCTAATGATTTTGATTCTGATACTAAAGAAGAGGGGGAGGAAGAAGATGACGCGTATTATTTTGCTTTTGATACTAA